CGGGGGAGCTTGAAAAGGAAGGAAAAGGAAGCAGGAATGGTCACGGATGATTGTTCAGCATATTAGCGGAGGGACGATACCATGGGAAACGGGATGTTTCCTGACGACACTACGGCTTGTAATGATTTTTTCTTTTGTTACTACCTTCATGATTGATGACTGAATAAACAGATAAATATAGTTATATGAATGACTCTGAACAGCAAACCTGGGGGTGTCGAGATGAGCGCCGGCTTCCACTCGGTGATTGCCAGTGTCTCGTTGTCCCCTTTCCCAACAAAGCCTAAGGTTGGCCTGCGGAGAGACCTGAAGAGATTCCTTTTCACCTTGTTAACGCTATTCTCCGAGATGTCGCATTGCTTCCTCCATCGGGTCTTATTGGCTGATTAAGCAAACGAACTCCGAATCTGTCGAGCCGAGACACTGACGGCTAACTTAACTGTCGGACTTCGGTAGGCCAAGAAAAGAAACACAAAACAGATGCCGATCGCACAAGATTTCTTTCAACGCCTGTGGCCAGAAAGATCGAAAACCTTCTCATTTATTCTTACACTAGTGTTGCAGAAAGCGACATTGTACTCGTGCACGCGAGGTCAAAACTTGGTTTCAAACTGTCCAATGGTGGATTCTCGTGGACCTGAGCGAAATCAGGCCTTGGCGACCGTGTTCTGGATCGTTCTTGGCATCCCGCGAGTCGACGAATGCAGCAAGGTTCTCTCGATGTTCCCCAGAGTGCTGGAGCAAATTCTCCATCCGAACCCCGATCCTCCCGCGCCCAGGACCTTTCGAATTTGCCGGTCGATTCAGCGTTGTGATGTACGATTTGACGAGGCTGCGACAACATTGCCACCATCAACCTTCCTCGCTACAGGCAGGCCGCGGTCATTGAATTCTCTTTCTGTTGCCTGGCTCGAACTGGGCCGATTGATCTGAGCATCGTACGGCATCGTCACAGCAGCAGTAGCAGCCGGTACAGCAGGTCAGCAACATGGGCAATTGTGGATCGGCCGGGATCTGGACGCGAGAAACTTGTTGCTGACGTCGAGCTCGCCCAGTACTTATCCACCTTGCCAACAACATCAAAGCCGTGGTCATCGTCCGAGTTCATCCTACGCAGCAGAAAGACCTTCATTACGACGACGGTCCCGTCCATGCAGGCGCGTCAGCACACCGAGCAACACACTCGCTAGATATACCACACGAAGTCGGGTGCACCACCCTTTTTAAAAACACAACCGATCGGATTCTTTCGTTGAGGGTGCGCCGAAAGAATATGCGGGCGCTGCGGTCCCCGCCAGGCCGCGCGTTGTAGTCTTTTAAATGAAGATGAGGATAGCAATCCGAGAGCAGCTCGCAGCGGTCGTGGTCCTCGCGGTTGGGACCGCGTTGGCCATCGTTTCGATCCCAACATGGATATTTGTCAACGACTTTGTTATGGACGTCTCGCGCGATGCCCTGTCACTGACCGCTTCCCTCAAAGCCGCCAGGATTACTTCCGAGATCAAGCTGATCCAGACGATTTGCCAAACCATGTCGACGCGTTTGTTAGTACAGGATGCCTTTGCACAGTTCTACGCCAAACAAAGCTTCAACGCAACCGATGACGACGTATGGCAGGCGGCCAGGACAGACCTGGAGAGCGCGCTCGGCAGCACTGGCTTTCCCAGTCTGCTGCAGGCCCGGTTATACTCGCGCAACACGACCGGTGATCCGAAGGGCCTCCTCAGCATCACAGGCGTCGGTGCCACAGAGTCGGGCCGCATCTTGCTGCCGTACACAGCTCCCGATGGCTCGCCTGTCTATCTAGGGGATCCGGAATACGGGTATCCGCCATCCCTGTTTCCAAATGTTACTTACATCGACCTCGGCCGTCCCAATGATGCCGTGCCAACAACGGGTGCCTTTGCAGCCCTCGTATTCCCGGGCGTTTCTCTGGGGAACGGGAGCGAGAGGACGGGTGTTTTGCTTGGACCCCTGGTGGTCAACTCGACCTTTGCCCTGATCTCTCTCACCATTCCCGTTCGCCAAATTGGTAATTCGGCCTTCAACCTCGGCTACATGACGATTGTCGCCAACACAAGAACGCTGGTCGAAGCCCAGACCTCGGACGAAGGACTGGGCCGGACCGGGATGGTCCTGTTTGTCGGCTCGACAAACCCGTGGAATCATTTTAGCCCTGCGGCGAGCAACACGACATGGACCCCACCTCTAGACGAATTTGAGGATCAGAACGTGGAGTTCCTCCTCCCGCCCGTGGCTAAGTACGGCCAGACGGACCGACATAGCCAGCGAAGCTTTGACTCCGGCCACTACAACAAGCCGTTTCAGCTACACCAGTATCCGGCGGTGCTTCACGTCCTCACCAGCCAAATCTCGGATACGAACAACGCCACAAGCGACCTATCGACAACAAATGAGCAGGGCTACCGGGTTGCTGTGGGCGTGGCTCGACCGCAGACCCCGCTGGTGTCTTGGGCCATCGTTGTGGAGCAGGACGAGGCGGAAGCTTACGAGCCTATCGAGACGCTGAAGAAGATTTTGCTGGGGTGTGTATTTGGGACGCTCGGAGTAATTCTGTTGCTCGTTGTTCCGTTCGCGCATTGGAGTGTCATGCCCATCAGGCGTTTAAAGGAAGCTACCGAGGCATCCCAACTTCCTCCGGGCTATGAGGATGATGAGGACGACATTTATGACGAAGAGAATCCGAGTTCTGGTGGGACGGCGTCTGGATCAGGACCGTTGTCTGAGAAGGGCATGTTGGCCAGGATTCGCCGGAAGATTCGCAAGGCCCGAAAGGCGAGGCTGCGGCAGGCAATTGAGCCAAGCCGCCGACACTTCAAGATACCCGCCAAAGTCGAAGAGAAGAAGCATTTCATTACCGATGAACTGACCGAGCTCACCCACACCTTTAACGAGATGACGGAGGAGCTTCTACAACAATACACGTCCCTCGACCAGAAGGTGGCGGAACGGACTAGGGAGTTGGAGATCAGCAAGAAGGCGGCCGAAGCAGCGAATGAGAGCAAGACGCTCTTCATTGCAAACATTTCACACGAGCTGAAGACCCCACTTAACGGCATCATGGGCATGTGCGCGGTGTGCATGGAGGAGGAGGACGACTTGCAGCGGATAAAGCAGTCGCTCAAAACGGTCTACAAGTCGGGCGATCTTCTGCTCCACCTTCTCGAGGATCTGCTCAGCTTCTCAAAGAACCAGATCGGGCAGCAGGTCAGTCTTGAAGAACGCGAGTTCCGCCTGGGCGATGTACGGTCCCAGATATTGGCCATCTTTGACAAGCAGGTCCGGGAGAGCAAGATTTGCTTTACCGCCACGTTTGTATCCACGAGCGAAAGTGCCGACGCCAGCCCCAGCCCGGACATGCGAACTAGCATGGACAAGAGACTCCCGGCGTTGGGCCCACCGGGCGTGGGAAGGCTCAAGGACATGTGCGTGTGGGGCGACCAGCACCGCATCTTACAGGTCATTATCAACCTTGTTAGCAACAGCCTGAAGTTCACGCCCCCAGGCGGCAAGGTCAACCTGAGGATACGCTGCGTCGGTGAGGTGGAGCCATCAGGCGACGAGAGCAGGACGTCGTCCTTTTCCAAAGCAGGGTCAAATCGTCCAGGGCGCAGCCGACACCGGGTGGGATCCGGATCGACGAATTCGGCAACCTCCAACAAGGCGGGTCATGGGCCGATTTCGCCGGTCAAGGGCGGGACCGCTCTCTCCATCAACCCCGTGGATCCGAGGGCTACCCCGCACGTTCAGGTCAGGGAACGCTCACCGACACCTCCACCGCCGGGTGCACGGACGTATCTCTTCGAGTTCGAGGTGGAGGATACGGGACCGGGCATCCCAGAGCACATGCAGCAGAAGATCTTTGAGCCGTTCGTCCAGGGCGATCTTGGGCTAAGCAAAAAGTATGGCGGCACGGGTCTCGGTTTGAGCATTTGCTCTCAGCTGGCCACTCTCATGGGAGGCAACATCTCGCTCAAGAGTACGCCGGGCGTGGGGACGACCTTCACGATGCAGATTCCTCTCAAGTATATCAAGGACCGGTGAGTTGGCTCAGCGAATCCCGCTTTTTTAAAGACGTCTCGTCTGTTTGGAAGCAGTAGCTAACCCGGAGGGCTCCTTAGCACGTCGAGCACGGCCTCCAGCAGCCTGGCATCTCGACCGCCAAGTGTAGGCTCGGCAACAGAGGGCGACAACGCGCGAAACCCGGTCTCGAGGACTTCGGTAGACCTCCAATCACATCAGACACCTCCGGCCACCGTCCTCGACCAGCAACCGCGCCTCGTCGGCCTCAGCCAGCCATTTTTTGCTACCACACCCAACCGACCACTGAGCAAGGAGGATCAAATGGCTGCCATCGACCGGGCCATGGCGAACAAGAACGGCCAGGGAAAGTTGCGCGTTCTGGTGGCGGACGACAACTCGACCAACATCGAAGTTGTCAGCCGGCTGCTGAAGCTGGAAGACGTTTACGATGTCACCATTGCCAAGGACGGGCAGGAGGCGTACGACCTTGTCAAGGCCAACATGGAGAAGAATCAACAGTTTGATGTCATCTTCATGGACGTGCAAATGCCGAACCTCGATGGCCTACAGTCGACGCGGTTAATCCGCAAGATGGGCTACTCGGCGCCCATTGTGGCGCTGACGGCGTTCTCGGAGGAGAGCAATGTCAGGGAGTGCATGGAGTCGGGGATGAATGAGTTTCTGAGTAAACCGATCCGGAGGCCGGCGTTGAAGCAGGTGCTGGCCAAGTTTGCGACGATCCCGGAGGAGCCCGAGACGACGTCGAGCGTGACGCGGAGGACGACACCTGATAAGACGACGCCTGCGGCGACGCCCGACCGGGAGGAGACCAAAGCCCCCGTCACGGATGGAGGGGAATACTTTGCGATGACTAACGGTGTGCACTCGAGGCCTGCAAGTCCTGATGAAGAGGCGCGATAACAAATAACGGCTTGGGTCCTACCGAGAACCCCCTTTGAATGCCACGAGTCGTGTCACCTGCTCGACCGCCTGTCGGTGCAAAGGCTGATCATGTCTAAAGTAGCTCCACGCGCTCTCTCGGCCGGAGGTACCCCATTGTTCATTTTCATCCGTTCAAATCAGCGTTCTTTTTTTGTTGTCTGCATGCGGGTTTTGGCAGCTGGCTAGGCGTTGCGGAAGCGGATTCATAAAACGGCGCATAGAGGGTCTCATTCTCGGCGATCAACTTTTTTTCTCGGGGCTGGAAGCGATGGAGACGGGCGTTGAAACAGTGTTTGACAAATCCGAGTGAAGATGGGAATGTTTGTTTTCTTCTTCTTTTTTTTTTGGTTTATTTGACTTTGTATTGTACATAAAACCATTTGTAGAGTCTGCAACATAATCTTGAGATCTCCGGATATTTAAGTACAGTACGACGTGGAAGGGCTTAATCGAGGGTATTTGGGGAGACTTTGTATGCCGTCTACGGTCTCATTTAGGGTGCTTACATGGAGTTCATTGGCCAGCCTCGACGTCCGGGTTTATAAGACTCCGCTCTTTATTCTGGTTGCCGAGCCCACCTTCCGGCCCCCGCACGGCCTCCGCTCGGGGGTTCGGGACGGGCAGAGTGGAGATTGACATCAGGGCAGTGCCGGGCCTGCCTGGTGTGTGTAACAGCTTGATGAGATAAGGAAACAACAGGTGAAGTCGTGTCCAATTCAACACACTCTTCTCACTGCCACTGATGCTTCCCTCCCTGCGTAGGACTCGGCCATCCGCAGCAGAGTTCGTCCTCGAAACAGCCATTGGTATGGTTGACAGAACCCCCCCTGAATCCAGTTTCCCAGGCAGCACAAAGGCATCCTTCCTCTCATCTCACACGCAGAAAATCGCACAGTACCGACCCCGCATCAACAACAGACTCGCAAAAGAAAATGCGCCTTCCCTACGTCGCCAACCCCCCACCGACGTCCTCCTCAGAAGAAGAAGCCATCGTGCAGCGCATCCAAGCCCGGCGCTCCCCGCGGCCCCTGCAGCCGCTCGACCTGACTCTGCTGCACTCGCCCCCCGTTGCTGATGGGTGGAATGCCTTCCTCGGCGCCGTGCGCACGCGGACGAGCTTGCCGGCGGACTTGAGAGAGATTGCGATATCGCGGGTCGCGGTGGTGAACCGCGCGTGGTATGAGTGGGCCCATCACGCGCCGCTGGCGGAGCAGGCTGGCGTGAGCAAGGAGGGGATGGAGGGGGTTGTTAGACGAGAGGGGGGGCTCGTGCTGGGAGAGGAGAGGGCGCCGCCGGCGGGGCTGACGGAGGAGCAGTGGGCTGTGGTTTGCTATACGGATGAGATGACGCGGAATGTGCAGGTGAGGGATGGGACGTTTGCTAGGTTGAGGGAGCTGTTTACGGAGAGGGAGATGGTGGAGATCACGGCAACGGTGGGTTCCTTTTTTACCTTATTCTGTCTTGCGGCGTTGAGACGGAGAGTATGTTGACCCCTGGGCTTCTTAGATTGCTTGCTACAACTGTGTGAGCCGCTTCTTGGTGGCGTTGGATGGTGAGTTTTATGACACCCGGCTTTGGCTAGCATTGCAGGACTAACAGGGAGGCAGTTGGTGAGAGGAACGGGCTCGGGCCTGATGCCGCGCATTAGGATAATCAGGATCGTCTCTTTTACGATTCTTCTCGGACCAAACATTAGATTATGGCGGCTTTATGGCTGGTTAGGATACAGAGGAATTTATCAGGAAGATGGCGTGGAGAGAATTTGTACAGACAACACGGAAAATGGGTAGGGATGAAATTCAGTAGAACATATGGAACAGAGACGTGAGGCAAGCCACGCAGGTAAAAGAATTATTGTGACTGGCGAAAAGGGGTAAAAAGGGGGTATCTCGTGTGACGTGACCAGAACTCCATCCGAACTCGTGCCCAGCACCGCCCATCCTGCTCTTCCAGATCCAAGAACGCCAGGCATGCCTTTGTGATACGCTCGAGTCATAAAATCACGTGGGTATAGAGGTATTCGTTGCGTCGTCAGTACTCGTGTTTCGTCAGAAAATGTCGTAGAAAAGGTAGTCGTCGGTGGTCAGGTTGCCGGAGAGAAAGCGAGGGACCGAACACACTCTTATGGCGACCGTGACATGGCCATTTCGATGCTCGCATGCCTTTTATGGAGCAAAGGGCTTCTCTGTAATTCCATCACAACCCCAGCCCAGCCTTTGCGATGGCTGCCCTCGAGGTTCTCTTGGTGACCGATCGTATTGACGGTTAGCCTCCGCAATGGGGGCTTGGATTTTATGCCGTCGAGTAGGCCCTTCGGGAGCCCAATACGTTGAGATGTATGGAGCAAGTCTGGCGACTTCTCCAAATCTCGTGGCGCAGCGTCCTTCTTCGCCGCCGCCTCGGTTGCCGCGCCAGCAATGATGCCCATGTGCACTACTAGGAAGCGCATCCTGAGCAGGTCAAGGCGCCGCACCTTCTCCTCTAGTCTCGGCCGATGCACCGCCCATAGTATGCGCGAAGCGTTGCGCAGGCGGGGGTCGTCTTCTCCAACGAGCAGTGAATTCAACTCCTCGCGCAAGGCGTCTCCTCCCTTCTGAATATCGCGCAGGAGCCGGCCAAGGCGCAATTTATCCTCCAGCTGCTGAACCTTTGCGATATCGCGGTCATAGGATTCATTCTCGGCGATGGAGCTGTCAACGGCATCGAGGAAGGCGGAGACTTCGGTGGGCGCATCTAGGTATGCCGTTGCGTAACGGCCGGCGATCTGGACAAGAATCACGAGCGAGAGGAGAAATGCGGTGAGCGAGAGGACAAGGATCCACTGTCCGAACGACGAGTCGGTCATGGTAGAGAGACCAATGGACTTCTGCGTCAAGACATAATCCGTGAACTGTGACACAAGAGCGACACTGCTGGTTGAATAACACTTGAGCGCACATTTGGACGGTTTTGTGGGTTCAAATTGGCGCCGGAGGTTCGGATGCGGGCAGGAAGGTGATGACGGAACCAGCCCCCCGTAACCTGTTTGAACCCCACCAAACACCAGTGGTTCTTGAACATCAGAAAACCCCCCACTTGTTTTGACAGCCGCACCCCTTTGACGAGGAGTGACCGTTACGAGTAACTAGGAAGTAACTGCGATCACAGGTCAGACGGGACGCGGGTATTTGCCAGAACTTCGCGGAGGTTGTCCACGATAATGTTGTAAGACGAGTCCGCTTGTTGGTATTGGGGCTCCAACAACCTGGAAGGGATGCAACAATGGCAATGACTAGTTTTCGGAGAGTTGACAGTCAGCTGCTCACAACACTCACCGCCCGAGCTCCACATTCGGACTGTGTAGAACTTCGAAATTCTGCCCGCTTTGGTCGCTTTGCCGATCCAATCCACTTCACTCCACAATCCAGGAGAGCTTCAGGGAGAGCCACTTCAACTCCGGCATCCCGCTCCTCGTCCGCCCTCCCTTGCCGCGACACGCAAGCTGTCACCATGTTGTCAGGCATCCTCATCTTCAACCAAAAGGGCGAGAATCTGATTTTTCGGGCGTTCCGGAACGACTGCCGCCCGCGCCTCGCCGATGTGTTCCGCATCCAGGTCATCAGTAACGCCCAGGTGCGCTCGCCCATCCTGACGCTCGGCAGCACCACCTTCAGCCATGTCAAGCACGAAAACATCTACCTGGTGGCCATCACCAAGAGCAACGCCAATGCCGCCCTCGTCTTTGAGTTTCTCTATCGCCTGATCCAGCTCGGCCGCGGCTACTTTGGCAAGTTCGACGAGGAAGCTGTTAAGAACAACTTTGTCCTTGTCTACGAGCTCCTGGATGGTTGGTTGCGGCAAAGCCCTCCCTCATTTACCTCGCTGACCGTATGGCGATTGCAGAGATTATCGACTTTGGCTACCCGCAGAACACCGAGACGGACACGCTCAAGATGTACATCACGACCGAGGGCGTCAAGTCTGAGCGCGCCGTCGAAGAGTCGGCCAAGATCACAATGCAAGCGACAGGCGCCCTGTCATGGCGGAAGGCCGATGTCAAGTACCGCAAGAACGAGGCCTTTGTCGATGTCATCGAGGACGTGAACCTGCTCATGAGCGCCACGGGTGCCGTTCTGCGCGCCGATGTCACCGGCCAGATCATCATGCGCGCCTACCTCAGCGGCACCCCCGAGTGCAAATTCGGCCTGAACGACCGCCTCCTGCTCGATAACGACGGGCTTCTGAGCCTTCCCAGCGGCAACAGGATGGGCAGCAAGGCGACCAAGGCGGCCGCCGGCAGCGTCACGCTCGAGGACTGCCAGTTCCACCAGTGCGTGAAGCTCGGCAAATTCGATACCGACCGCATCATCAGTTTCGTGCCTCCAGACGGCGAGTTCGAGTTGATGCGCTACCGCGCCACCGAGAACGTCAACCTGCCCTTCAAGGTGCACGCCATCGTCAATGAGGTCGGCAAGACAAAGGTCGAGTACAGCATCGGCGTGCGCGCCAACTTCGGCTCGAAGCTCTTCGCCACCAACGTTGTCGTCCGCATCCCCACGCCGCTCAACACTGCTAGGATCACGGAGCGCTGCACTCAGGGCAAGGCCAAGTATGAGCCGTCCGAGAACAACATTGTGTGGAAGATTGGCCGCTTCACCGGCCAGAGCGAATATGTCTTGAGCGCAGAGGCCGAGCTGACGGCCATGACGAACAAAAAGGCCTGGAGCCGCCCGCCGCTGAGCTTGAACTTCAGTTTGCTCATGTTCACCAGCTCGGGCCTACTGGTCAGGTATCTCAAGGTCTTTGAGAAGAGCAATTACTCGAGCGTCAAGTGGGTGCGCTACATGACGAGGGCGGGGAGTTACGAGATTAGGTTTGTCATTTCACAGTTCTGCCACCAACTCCTCCGCCTTCCGCCGGCTAACCCGGAAACCAGGTTCTGACTCGATGCATGCTTTTATTGTTTCCTTGCACTGCATCAGATGTGTCTGTCTACCTTGCATAGCACTGGCGTTGGGCGTTTTTGGATGTTGTATAGGCACAGGTATACCACCGACAGCCCGCGAATGGTTGTCCATCTCGGTTTAACCAACATTGTGGGGCGAGCCCTTGTTGTGTCCAGCCTGGTGTTCTCTGCTGCCGTCGTGTCTTGCGGCAATTCTATCCACCTCTCAGTCGCCGAGCAATGCTCACGGAGTTGATACCGCCGCAGCTGTCTTCAGCCACCGAACATTCGCGAGTGCTTCGACCCCTCACTGCCAGCAACCAAGTGCATGTAGCTGTTGATTCCGTTCCCCAACACCGGCAGCATGACTTGCATGTGTTGGCTCCGGGCCGCGCTCGGGTTGCCACCGAGTGGTCGCAACCGAACACTGCCTGCTCTTGGCAGTGGACTTTGGTGAAATGTCTGTCGGTGACGATGTCTGAACGCTTGCATCAACCCATGCGTTCCCCGCAGCTGAACGCGTTGGAGGTCCCGTCTCTGCAACATCCCTTGGAGATTAGGAGGCAAAAGAATTTAGGGCATGCTGCGAGGCGCCGGATGAGTCAAGGGGCATAAAGTTCGTCATGCCTGCCGCCGGTCGTCCTGTTTGGTTTCTACCCAACATTTGAATTGGGTAATCCCCAACCAGTCTCAGCCGTTTGGTATGTGCGGTTGGACCAGTGGAGTTTCTCCAGGGCCAGTTTCCACTGACATGAGCATACAGCGTTTCAACCACAAAGTCACCGAGGTACTTCACGCAACACCATGCGCTTCACGATCCCGGCTCTCCTTGTCGTGTCCGCAACAGCTTGCCTAGCGGACATGATGAGGGTCATTACCGTCTGCCCTTCGGAGGGCCTGGGGCGCTGTGACAGCAGCCGCGGCACGTTCCCGACATGCTGTGGCCACTATCCCGTCGATGCCAACGAAGGGCGCAGAGGTACTGGCGTCCCGGGCATGGTCGAGTTCTGCGTCGACTGGGGCAACCGGCGAGGCCACTTCCGATTCTCGCACCAGTCTTTTAAGCGATGCATGTGCATGGCCAGCGAACAAAACATGAACTTGCCTCTCATCTGTCCCACGAATGGGTCGTGTATCGTGTCAGATTGGGAGGAGATTCCCTGTTCTTGGAGGGAGGTACCGGCGGAACCTGAGGCGATTGTGTCGGCGACGGAGGAGGAGGCTGCTCCTGTTGAGACTGGTAACCATTAAGTGGGCTTTTATGTGTCGGTGTGGAGGTTTTACGCGCGGCCTTGAAAATCTGAGAGGTGGAAAAGTTGGCGAAGGACAGGAAACGATGGGAAGGGGGTTTGGGAGGCCGGGTGGAAAGGGGGGTGGTGGGGGGGGGGGTTGGGGTTTGCTGTGTTATTAAAATCTCGCGCCACCGTTCCCAGCGTGCGGACCACCACATCAGTGATTTTCAAATTGTAGGAGAGGGTATCTTGATTAATTATAGTTATCCTGCAAGGCAACTGTTGGGCTGCTGCAGTGCCACTGCAGGGTGCTGACCACCGTGCACATGGACAGTGGTTGCCAGACAGCAGCAATTGAGAGGCCGCGTTATCCTCGAGCAAAACCAGCGAGCAATCTGAAGGACTGTACTGCCTACTGAATAATAGAACCGACCTACCTAACCTACTCGAGTAGCAGTCATACCTTCCCAATCAAAAAGCTCAAGCGAGAAATCCACTACTAGTACCGTCAAGCCCCTACCTACTTCGAAGAAACCTCCTTAAACCAACCCTCCAAAACCAGCGCTCCGCCCTTTAGATTCCCAATCCTAATCCCAACATCCTCAGGCAAAATCCCACACTTCACAGAGCCCGTCATCCCCTCCTCCTCCTTCTGACCATGCCGCGGGTCATCACTCGCCTCGATCTCCCTCGGCTGCAGCCAAGCCTATATACCCAAGGCGGCGGCACAGCCATCTCAACCGCGTCCGCTACAGCAGCAGCAGAGGGCCGCACCTCAGGCACGACCAGCGGGCCGGCGCGCATCACAGTACCGATCCGCCGCAGCGCCGGCGGGAGGAGACCGCCCGTATACACATGCAGCGGCACGAGCGGGCCGACGACGGCGCTGTGAATGTCAAAGTGCTTGAGCAGGGCCGCGGTGCGCGACGTGTTGTTCGGCGGGCGTGGCGTCGGCGGGGAGGAAGAAGAGCGTCAGCGTTGGGTAGGTGGTTGTTGTTGTCGTCCCTTGGAAGATAGCGCCTGGCGCGGGCTGGATGATGGCGTCGGTGGGGATCTTGGTGTCCAGGACGAGGAGTTCGGTGTACATCTTTCTTACGGTGCCGGTGCCGGCGCCGCTGTCGGTGAAGTAGGTGACAAGTCCATCGAATGCGGCGTCACCGTCGCCTACCTTGTAGGGGAAGCGGTAGTCTGTGAGGTTTGGGTCGTTGGCGGAGGAGCGGTCCGGGCAGAGCAGCGGTTGGTTCTTGCGCGGTGGCGCAGCTACCTCGAGGCCGACGCCAAAGGCGACGAGGGCAAAGGGCCGGCCCAGAACCGTTGGGAAGGCCAGGTCCGCGTAGTCGGCTGGAGTCGATGTCGTACTGCTGAGCGCGGCGGCCAGCATAGCGAAGAAAGCCGTTGTGAAGGCTGTGTCAGCCGCTAGCTTCGCCGTGAGGGCTGAGATGCGCGACGAGTTGCCGCCAGCTGAGACCGCGGCCTGGGGGTCCGATGGTAGCGATCCCGCCACCGTGACAACTGGCGCCTCGCCATCGGGCATGAGACCAGTTCGGCCAGGAACGCGCCGTCGGGCGAGTACGTCTTGAGGGAGTATTCCGCAAAGTCGATAATAACCCAATCCCAGGGTTCTCCCAGTCCGACGCCGGGCTGACCGACCCGCCATCAGCGGGGGCGGCCGTGACCAGCGGCCAAACGTTGAGGCGCGCCTCCTGGTTGATGCGCAGCGGCAGCTGGAAGAACTGGCACGCCCCCGGCGGATCCACGGCCACGACCGTGTCGGCAACGGGGGGCGATGTCCCAGGCAGCCAACCACGCGATAGCGCTGGGGACACGCACGGGTACAGCGGCGCCTGTTTGCCGTCACTCGCGTTTTGGCGGGTCCACGCACGTTACCACCTGCCCGAACTTGTCGACGATGGTCAGCTTGATGAAGCGCGCCCGGCCGTGCACGACGGGCTTGAACGGGCTGAAGGTCGTGCAGTGCGGGCCCACGGGCACCGTCGATCCGTACGGCGTCAGGCTGTCGGCGCCTGCTGCCCCAATGGCGAGCAGGTCGGCTTCGGTGACGCCGCAGGCCGCCTGACTCAGTCTGCTGTGCGCTTGGGGCTGCTGTCCACGTCCGGCTGCCACGGCAGCGCTGATGTGCGTGCCGTGCATGAGCGTCAAGAGGTGGTCGCTGAGCCCGTCGAGCGTGGCCGAGAAGAAGGACAAATTGATGGCGTTGCGCAGCAGGGCTTGCACGGCAGCCGGATCTGCGAAGTGGTCTTCCTGGTCAGGGAAGGCGGCGGTAATGAGGTTACGGGGGAACCATTCCACTCAATTCCAGTCGACATTGATGCACTGCAACACCTGGTGCAAGAGCCGCGCCGTGATTGTCAGGCCACGGCGAAGCCACAGTCGCGAAGAGAACCGTCGGGTCGGCTGCCCGCGCAAAGGGCTGAGCGCGGCCTTGCTGGACCGTCACGCCTGGACACATGACGCCAGACGACAGCAGTTTCTTGAGCGAGGCGATGGCGCCGCTGATGTTATGGGATACGTCGTAGGCTACAAGCTCTCCGATACGGATCTTGATAGCCTTCACGGCGGTGACGCCAGCTGATGCGATGTAGGCGGCGCCGCTGCTGCACTTCCACCACTCGTACCATGGCTCCTCGCGCAACCGAGCCATCTCGCATCGGGCGGCATCGAAGGTGCCTTGGGCGTTGTTGAGCAGAGCGAGCTGAGGTGCGCTTGCCCTCATGGTGTCATGCGTGGCCGCTGCGAGAACCGCTGGCCGCGAGGTCGATGTTTACGGCATGGACGCGTCATCGTTGGCCAAGTGCCAGACAAAACCCCCGGGGAAGTGCTGGAAGTCGTTGGCGGTCCTCGAGTCCTCCGCCTTGAGCTGGGACGTTACGTCGTCATCGCCAAGAATCAGGGACTCCAACGCGGCAAGCAGTGTCACCATATCGTCGACATTGGCCGTCTCCTGGTTCGCCACTCGAAAGTACGCCAGCAAAGCGTCGACGGCGCCGTTCCCCAGGGCGACGGGGTGAGCTGTTCTCACCTGATTTTGAAGGTCTACGCTTGGTATTGGCACCCTGGGGTCCGTCCTGCCAATGTACTTCACGCCGTTTAGTACGCCGTGGCAGATGATGCGGTTTGCGTTGGCCGAGTCTGGCGTGGCGCTCAGGAAATCGGCCCTCCGCGTCCCCTTCAAAAGGATGAGGTCCCTGGTGGAGGAGGCTTCTTCTCGGCGAGCGTCAGCGCCATGGCCGACAAGACGTCCCCGTTGGTTGTCTTGGTCACAAGCTTCGCATCAAGACCGGCCCCCGCGAGTGGGTCCTCGCTAGGGTCGGCGTGGAAACCGACAACGAAGTAGCTGAAGATGCCGCCGTTCCCACCCAGTCTGTCGTGGCGATGCCCATATCGTCCAAGACGCTGAAGACGCTCGTGTTGTGCGGCTGATAGTCGGCGAAGAGATCGTTGGTATTCTCCATCGCCGTTAGGAGTATGCGGTACGAAGCTGCCTCGTCCTTGGTGGGCGGTTTGTAGTCCCCGAACTCCGCCCTCAAGCACATGAACGTCTCATTCTGCTGCTCGTCGGGCAGGTTGTCATCGACGAAAACAGACATGAGGTTCTACGACGTTTGTGATTCCGCCGAAGCGGTTGTCCTTCGCCAGATCGTCTGCATCATTGAGGTTGCGGACCTGGTTGCTCTCGCGCACGTACATCGTCGGCGTGAGATCGTAGTTGCCGCTATTGTCCTTGCTATTCTTTGAGAATACTTGATCGTCAAATCTGGCCCTTGGATAATGGATGGTGATCCATCGATGGGGGACAGGGCGGAAATGTGGAGGGCTCAGTTTTGCATACTTTCGGATTGCTTGGAGAGGATTCGCCAACCTCGGTCAGAGAGGGATCAACTTGGTTGCCGTTTGGCGCACCAAAGTCGGCTCGAGCCCTGGCCACATCATGGTCTGGTTCGGCTGATTCAGTGGACGAAATGGCCGTCCGCTAACCCCGCGGGAGACACCAGGAGATGTAGACACCACGGCGATCTAGCCTCCCGGCAAAGCGCGTGTTTCAAGCTGGCCTTCAACGCATCCTCGGTGAGGTTCAGCTGCTCCAGGGCATCGTGTTTGATAAGGCCGTCTTGATGCCAGAGTTTGGAATAGTCGGGCTGCACCAGGGGGGCAATCCGGCAACCGCTGTTTTCGAAGTCATCGTTCACGACGAAGGCCTGGACAGCTATTGGTACGCAGACATAACTGTGACGTACGCCGGACATCTTGAAGCTATCGTGGGTAAGGCCTTGAGACCATGAGTGTCTTCACGGGCTCAATCTCCCATCCGGACTGAAGTTGAAGGCATTGACGCCTTGCACTTGAGGAAAGGGACCGCCTCCCTCAGGAGGATGGCCCGAAGGCCGATGTCTCGGTACGCGTGAGGGCCTCGACATTGCCGATTCGGCTAGCCGCCAAGGGGCCTAGACGTCGTGGCCGAGTCTGGCCCGACTCTGACAAGGAGCCGAGATCTGCTGCATGCCTAATGCGGGGTCCACTGGACGGCAGAAATGCAGTCAGCACCAAGACGCTCCCTTTGACACTACTTCCATTCGTCACCAAAGAAAGACGAATGCAATATCCGCACTACTCCAAGCGTTACAACGTCGTCGACTGTATTGATGCAATACGACGCCGAGAACCGCTTCCAGCAATGGAGCTTGTTTCCATGAAGTCCCGGTACTCACGGGGACTGAAGCTCCCCAGAACTCCTCTGAGTCAGGAGTTAGCACTGGCCCACCGAGGATTGATGAAGATGTCCCGCCGTCTTACCTAGCAAGGCGCCCAAATCTTGCAACATCTGCCTCCTATAGAGACGGACTCTCACGATGCTGCGAACGCCGGCAAAAGGCCTTCGCTCGAAGACCCTCGCCCTCTCCACTAAGAGCACACCCCTCGAAGAGGATGTTCCCCAGGCAGGCGAGGTCAAGCTCTACTCGTTCAACTCACCAGCGCTATACACTGGCTCGTAAACTGTCACAACATACCAGACGCTGGAGATAGATAGCTCCAAAGCGGTGGAACTCCAAGCCGTGAAGCCTTTTACCGGTACAGGCCCGAGGTTGGTTCTCAATCCTAGCGAGATCCAGAGCAAATACCCAGCGACAGGCCACTCGGAATGTCTACAACACGCTCCCACATGTCGCCTTCAAGGACCCGCACATGCCATGGGAAAGAAAGATCGAGATCGGTACAGAGAAGCCTGGCGACTTCGCCGGGCTCCCCTGGGTGGCCGTCCTGAGCTTCACCCAGGACGAACTCCGGCTCGACCCACTGTCTGGAAGCAGACGCCGAACCTGGCCATCTCGCTGACCGTGGCCGAGCTCAACACGGCGGATGGAGTTGCTAATCCACTGGGAAGTCTTGAAGGAATAGACCCCGCGGACAGACTAAACGCCATCCTTGTCCCGCGCGACCTCTTCAAGGGCATCTTCTGCGACTACGCAGAGGATGCCAAAGGGAGTATGTTGCCCCAATGGAACAGCTCTGCCAGTGTCGATCGCTTCTTCCTCCTCGCCGCACGTCCAGCAGGCCAACCTGAGCAGGACAGTGAGCGGCGGCGCCGCCGACAACGCCGCCAGCGGTTTCGGCGTCGTCGTGGGCCACCGCATCGCACCGTACCAAGATCACGCAGCCGACGGCTGTCGTCTCGCATCTCGTGTCGCTCGAGGGCCTGAGCTCCACGGCCATCGCTGTTACGGCTCAGCACGTCGCCTTGGTGTTGTTGTACTCGTGGACCTGGATGGCGCTACCGGGAGGTCAAGGCATCGCTTGGGCGATGCGCGAGCTCGCGCACAACATCTTGCTGCTGAGGCCGATCCAGTTGGTGAAGCAGCCGCCGATGGAGCCGCTGGACCTGGCGGAGAAGTGGCTGCGCCAGAGGGCCGAAGACGGCTACGTACTCTGCCGCCATGTGCTGCCGACGGGGGAGGAGACGACGGGGCTCCTCAGGGGGTTTCTCTCTCCCACTGGCCCACAGCTACTACGAACAAAGTCCCGCTTTTCGCTCTTCGGAACCGACCTGCAGGCCATGGACCAGTTCACAGGATTCATGAACGTCTCACTAAACTCGGCCTGGGAGCTTGGTGGGAGTATCGCGCGTGCCGACCGGGTCGTCTCGGCGAATTTTCTCCGCCTGCGCGGCCACATCCATCTCGAAGCCATAAAAGCCGCGCAGGCCGCCATGCTGACGAACGTGCACGTTACAAGGCACAAGCTAGCCGCGAACTTCTCCGCCATCCTCCAGACGGCGAGGTAGGCACCTGGCCAGGCCGACAAGACGACGGGGGAATGCATCGTTGCGTTGGACGCAAGGGTCGACGCTGCTGAACAAGCGTGCCACGGCGAGTACGCGCGGGGACGAGATGCGCAACCGGTACAAAGCCGCACTCGCGGACAGCGCCAAAAAGGCGGCAGCGTCCACAGACGGGCCCAGCATCTTCACCGACGGGGCGTCGGCGGCCTACCCTGCCTGGCAGCACGTGTTGACTTGGATTGTCGACAAGCTGAATCTCGTGGGCATCCCGTCGCATTACCTGATTTCAGATCAGAATGTGTTGCCCTCCGAGGCGTTCCGCACCTTTTACGTCGACCAGGACGCCGTCGAGGCGCTGACTGACGGCGCGCTGAGCCTCGGAAACCACTCCGAGGCGGATGACGACGGCATCCGCCGCGAGATCAGGGCCAAAGTCAACGCGTATCTGGGAAATCTGATGTCGCCGGCACCGGGCTCAACCGAGAGGTGCTACCCTCGCGTGCCGACCTGGGGTTTCGTGATACGCAACCATTTGGTGCAGGCCTACCCGGACCCTAGGGTTGAGATCCCCTTCGTCGAGGGAACAGACATGGGGCGCACTCAGGTCTTGTCCATGGAGCAGCCCGCGTCGGACATCCTCGTCTATCTCTTGGACCGGCGGCCTAACGAAGGGCAGGTGCTCAGCGTGACAGTGTCGCAACCGGCGCAGCAGCCAAGCTGAAGCGCCCGCCAGTCGGCAGGACGCCGCCGCCTGCGAAGTCGAGTGCTAGCACGGCACTCGAGCTGCTGCAGTTTAGGAGTTGCACTGCAGTAGGATCTGAGTTCGAATACTGCATCTGGTGTTATTTGGTGACGTATGGAAGGAGGTGCCGAGAAGTGTCGTCTTGAGTGGGGTGCTGCCGACCCCGCTTTGAAGCGCGCCGTGATCCGTGAGCGTGTTTCAGCGGCCCTCCTTTCGAGTTCGGTGCAGTCATCCCGGTCGGTCATGGATGCTTTGGCTTCTCCTCACCAACCAGCTCAGCAGGCTGACCCGTGCCCAACGATAGCAGCAAGGTGTTTCGTTGGAACATCTGTCTGTCCTCGATGCTACACGGTACACCATGGAGGTCTCGATGCCGAGGATGGCCGTCGGAGAACGGCGGTTATTTACCGGTGATCCCCGGCCGTACCCTGAAGAACTTTGGGAAGGATCTCCAGCCTGAGCAGCTCAAGTTTTCGCTTCACACTCTGCGCATCGCCAAGAGGATTTCTCGCCAGTTTCTCCGTGGTTGTTAAGAGAAGGCCATGCCTTGCTGCCGATGCGAGGACTGCAGTGAGGACTATCAGTTCACACAGTCGCACGCCCGACCCGGTCGCGCCCCGGGTCTCCACTCCGACTACCGTAGCGTCCATGTATCAAGTGCGCTCCTACTTCCTCAACGTCAGTGCCGGCGATGCCGCCGTGGACCTCCTGGTCGATGTCAGCGATCCGCAAAACGGAACAGTGAAGGGCTCCATCGTAGGCGCCGTCCTTATCGATGGCGGTGAGTCGCATTACGCCAAGTGTCAAGGCCGTCCTGGCCAAGATCGAGCAGGAATTCGGCAAAGGAAAGTCCTACTCACCTCGGTCATCATCACACATTGAGACAAGGACCATTACGGGGCCACCTTCATCTTCATCAAAGAATATGCAATCGATCAAGGCAACAACAAGCGCACGGTACAGTACTTCGATTATGGCAAGGACGACAATGGTAACCGCCGCGGCGCCCAAGACCACTATGTACTGCCCTACAATGCCGGACAAGGATGAGAAAAGCATCACGAACTCGCCTTTCGCGTTCAACGAGGAGGGAAACAAGATGAAGGTGTCATTTAAAGACATCGTCAGCGACATATGCAAGTTGGCCAGGGGTAAGCCGGCCATCGGCCCACGACCTATTCACAGGGAGGACGTTTGACAACGCAACGAACGTAGAGCTTACAACCATGACGCTGACTACTTCTACAACAACCACCCGACGCTCATGGGCAGTAAGGCCACTGGGCCGTCCACGTTCCTCTGTCTCGGTGTCGACGATGTATTCGCAGGGCCGGAGCCCGATTTGCTGACGGCCACCCACCAGCGCAAGGGCCATCCGGACGACAGTGTGCAAAGGCAGAACAAAACGAACATCAGCACGGTGCCCAACGCCTGGTCGCTCATGGCGCTTCTGGTGTGGCCCGGGGCGAGAGAAGACGGGACGAGGAAAATCTCTCTCTCTACAGGCGGCGATGCAGAAGATGACCGGGAGGCGCGCTTGATTCACTGGCTCGGCAATAATACGACCTTTCCACTGTCAAGGCCGGACATCTTGGCTTCATGTATACCACGTCGTCGAATTGGCACGACGTCACCATCTGACAGTGGATCTTCTCCGCCGGGCCGGACCACAACCACCCTTGTAAGTACAAGATGCGCCCGGGTGGTTCTCTGCGTGCTTTCTGACATGCCAATCTTAGCGTGGAAGACGCTTGGTTATCTCTTCGCCAAGTATCTGCGTGACCTCAAAGATGCCGTCAACAACGATTCGAACCGCTGCTGCCCATGAGACCGCCCTTATGGATGGCCAAGGCCTCCGCGGACGTTGGACAGCTCGCCGAGTTTCTAACAGGGCAGGGCGGAGGAGCCTACATTAAAACACTTGCCTCTATGTTCCCGGAAGCGGGAAAGTGGTTCAACGACGTACTAGAGGGTCAGGTCGACAAAGGCTACGGTTCCAAGCATGAAATGTCGGACGTGCAGTTCAGTCTGAAAGATACCCTGGAGAAGTATTGGGGGCAACTAGGTTCGCCAGCCATCTCAGATGGGTCCAGAGACCAATGGCCCGCCGGGGTAGGCTACATCTTGGTGTTGTCGAATCATGTCGGGAAAGACGACGAGCGAGGGAAGCTACAAAAGTTGAGCGTGGGAAATAAAAAGGAATAGCGAGCGAAAATTGACAAGGCTGAGATCGATAACGACGCAGAATGGTACCCGAAAGATGACCGGGGCCGCAGGTTTCTGAAAGCAACCAAAAACAAGTCTGTGGCGTCCCCAATGGAGGTGAACTCCGAGGTGAAGGTAAATAAAGGAAGGCTTGTGATCAGCGCAATAAAGAATGACCGCCCAAGAAGAGCGAGAAGGAGGAGTCCAAGACGACGGCTGTGCGATCCAAGACGCAGCAGGTTCTCGGGAACACTACTAGCGACGGCACCACGTTGGAGAAATGGATGCTGGACTGGTACACCACATGTCTTCAGGACTTTCCAACCGAATCACGAGGGCAATTCCTGGACGTTCGAGGACAGCATGGCGCCCAAAGCTACGCTGTGGTCCCTGAATTGGCTGAACAAAAGCATCGGTGCGACATACGCCCGCCTCGACGGTTCGCTAGCCCACGATGGCTTGGCCACGATCGATAAGATTCTCTTCCGGATGGGACCGCTGCCGACGACCAAGCCCTCAAAAAAACTGGTCACTCTCCTTCTCCACGTCAAAGGGCGCCTTTGTCACCCAGTTTTCCAAAGAAGAAAAGCCAACATCGGGATGGGTACTACATTCGAGATGGGTGTCAGTCATCACATCCCAGGCCAGATCTTCAGCCTCGACACGAAGGACCCGAGCGTGACGCTCATCAAGGGTCCTCACACACTCGGTGACCTCTGGGACTTCCTTGGGTATACCGGACTCCCTCAATGGGTTTACAACTTGTTCGCCAAGGTGCCCCTAACGCTCGACCAAAGCGCACCCGCGCCCCGCAACCTCTTCATCTTCCAACCACAGACCATTAGGGTGGACTGCTATACGACTGCAGAGCCAAGTGCCTCTCGAGGACGACGGCAACAAGGGCTTGATAGATGTGGTGTCCCAGTGGCTCGGGAAGGCCACCACAGTCCATGGGGTTGTCGTGATCGGTACCAAGACCATGGCCGTTGTCCGCTTTGGTGCCGGAAACTCCATTCAGATCCCCAGCTCCATGTAAATCAAGGTTGCGCTTTCGTGGACCATCGCGAAAGCCTCGACAGACCCAGGCTTGGACAGCTGGCAGACGCTCGACTACGACCTCATTCTGGGTTTGCACGACGGAGGATGCGACATCATAATCCTACTGGCCGACGGTGTCGACTTCCACAATCTCCCGGCCTGGGTCGGCGACACTATCAAGGCCAAATCAGGCGGCGGAGAGAGTATAATACTCTTGGATCTCGAGAATGCACTCAAGGGCGCCATCAAACTTCTAGCGTCCGAAATCGTCCCGGCCGGCTCACCATCAACCTCAGCGTCGACGACAAAGTCACCGGCTTTTGGCTCGATATCGAGTTGCCGCTCAAGTTTGGTGGGCCAGACGGGGAAACAGCAGCGTTGGCAGCGTCCTTCATTTTGATACAAGGTTGTCTTCTCCTCCATCGTGAGCTCTGGGACCAGAAAATGGCGAAAAGCGCCAGCCCCGTCACCTCGGAGCCCGACGGTACCATCCCTCTGCAGCTCAGCCCTTTTCGCGAGGCGTTTCTCGAGCCGGTGGCTAGGACAGCCACAATTGACTACCTTTGACCTAGCAAACTTGCACCTGGGCAAGCTGAAGAAGAAGCTCTCGGTCCACATCAGCGCCGACGTGTCGCTGTGGAGCCCGCCCATGGCCGGCAAAGCCGTCATCCACGTCTGGTTTGTCGACTTTCACGGTGCACTTTGGCCGGCAGCGGAGCGGGCCGGGCCCGCTGACCATGGCCGAGTTCTGGGCGCTGCTGAAGCAGCAAGACAACTACAGCGATGGCGGCGACGCGCCCGCCGGGCGTGCTGCCGAGCTGCAGTCGGACGGCGGCGTGCTCTCTGTCACGGCCGAAACGCACGTACTTTCGGTGGTCGCCGGGGCGGTCGCGCAGGGCAGCGAGTTCAAGATGGATCTCAACGTGGATCAAGCCGAGGCGTGGCTCGTCGCGGGCCGTCGCTCGCGTTCGAGGCCTGTCGCTTTTTCCGCTGTCTCGTGCCTACAGCAACAGCGTCGAGAGGTGGCTACGGCGACCGGCCAGGCGCTGCCGTGGGGCGCTACTGTGCCGTGCAAGTCGCTGCAGATCCCGGCTGGACGGTCGCAGGCGCCGGTTTATGTGTCGTCTTTGCACGTCACGGTCAAGGGTGAGGACGGAAAGGAGACGAAGAGCCCCTTCGTGCTGGAGCCGATTGCGAAGCAGGTGCCTGTGGCGCTGTGGGAGTCTTGTGAGTTTCTTTTCTTGGCCTTCTCCTTGATTCCAACGATTTCTCAATTTTTGTGGCTAGGTTTAGGTATTCTTGTTGTTTCAGACATGCTAAACAGACTCATTGACAGATACCCCAGAGAAAGAGCCCCTCGTCGGCGGGTCTGACACGCTCCTGAACCCGTCGGCGGGCCGGAGGCCGGACCGTCCCGCATATCATGGGCGTCCGTGTCACGCCGCCGCCCACGCTCTCCCAAGACGGCATCCCGCCCTTCGAAATCCCCGAATTTGCCAAGGTGAACGTCAACGCCGGCGACCCGCGCGGTGATCCAATGCTTCCAGACAGTACGCTGCAGCTAGGCGACGAGGCCTTCCTGCCCCGGAACAGCCCGAAGGAAGGTGGCGAGGCCGCGAGGAGCAGGGAGGAGAGGATTGAAGAGATCACGGAGAGGTGGGCGGCCGCGGCGGCAAGGGCGAACAGAGATACGATCGTGAGGGATTATGGGACTCGGTTCGGTGGAAAGAAGGGGAGCAAGCCGTTGGTCACGGCTGTGCCGAAGCGGTTCGCTGCAAGGTGAAGAGGAGGTAGCGTGTTGTGCCGGCTTGCTCGCGAGTTTGTGTGATGATTTCCTCTTACCTTCAGGGGCTTGAGTGGAGAGTGTTTCTAGATCGACCAGCTTCAAACATTGAAGCGTCCATCATTATCAGGCAAATTGCGGTAGCAGCTAAGTTAAGCTATGGTAGGTATACACGGATCCGTACAGTGACAATGGCAACAATGGTTACCTGTCATTACCTAGGTTGGTACTGGGAACGTCGATGGCTTGTGGTTCTACTGTTCTTTCGGCCCCGTCTTCCCAACGCCTTACTATCTAACCTAAGGGAAACTGAAGCCGTCCTCGACCACCAAACCGAATGGGCACATGGAAACAGTGTATGGTAGGCAACAATTAAGACCAAGCTGAGTAATTAGAGCCACTGGTCTAAGCACACCTCCATATACCTTACTTTACTACAGCGTATATAGTTCAAGACGCACTTGGCATTGCTCTAATAGTGACTTAGAAATTTAGAGTAGGGAACTTGGGGAGGTATAGAGTAGGTGACTTGGGAGAGGGGATGGCAGGTATAGTAATCTGTAGAGTCAAAATGAAGACGGACTCTTTCCTCGCATTCAAGCAGGTCTGACGCCGGCATCTGTCAAGATCCACCAGCTTCAGGATTCTAAGGGCCGCTGGTCTAGTGGTATGATTCTCGCTTAGGGCTCCTAACCCTAGCATTTCTTGCGAGAGGTCCCGGGTTCAATCCCCGGGTGGCCCCCTGAGGTTGTAATACTTTTTCAGTTGACGGCGATTTTCGCCAACGTTGATTTTGCCGGCGACGAATGCAAGTTTGTGCGGTGCAGGTGAGTCAAGGGTTAAGAGTCGGGTTGGGGGCTCAGAGGCGTTTCAGAGGGTGACGGGTTAGGGTTGTCACCTAAAGAGGGTGGGTAGGTGGACAAGGCAAGCAAGCAAGTTCCGAGTCTTCTTACTATAGCAGCGTTGCCACACGGTCCGATTCATTTGACCCAACTTAGACTCAGAAACATGCAAGGCTGCCATTAGAATGGACGTCTTACTGTTGGATATGTTTTTGAGCTTGAAAGGAAGCAACTGAGCCACTAATTCTCGGGTTCATGGATGCCTTACCTACAAATGTCGAGCTGCATTGCTTTTTGCCGAGAGAGGTGGCCGTGCCGAAAGCAAGGAACGGAGTTGGCATACCTCATGCAAAGCAGTGAGCCCCTAAATCATATATTCCACCATAAATCTCGGCCTAAGCTCTGTTGCATCCTCCCATTCGAGCCCCGATTCCCAAGATACGTTCCTTTGCACATTTGACGGCCAGCAAGCCACGACAGACATTGTCGAATTGTGTATACCTGCTTATCACCCTTGGTTCTATCGCTACCTCGACGAAGAGTAAATTTTCTGGTGAATACTCATGAAGATGGTTGACTCGCAATATCTCGTCAATACACGCCGGGGTTCGTGCATGAGGAAGCCTTGTTATAACCTCAGCTGAGTCCGCAAAAGTGCTCAGCCTCGCATGCAGGTTTGAGCAGGTGCCTCCCGACCATTGGGCATCGAAAGCTTGACTTCCAGTCCCTGCCCGTGGACTTTGTTTTGACGATCTTGTTGTCTTCAAACCCCTTCTCCGGGAAAAGAAGGCTCGATGAGGTAAGCTCAGATAAGGTGGATCACATCAGTAGCGCCTTCCCTTACGAGGTTCTTTCAGAACACGACTCAATCCGGTTGTTTATTTTCGAGCCCGCAGAGAGTCCCGAAGCAGAGCTGTGCGGACAGCTGGTTTCCACCACCATCCGAGAATGCGAGACGGACATCTACAAAGGGTATATCGCCATCTCGTACGTGTGGGGCGATCAGTCCCCTACGGCCTCCACCAAGCTCAATGGCGAGTCTTTCGCCCTGATAACCTCCCTCAACGCTGCTCTCAGAGGGGTCCGCCACGCGAGGGTCGCCTGCCGCGTGTGGGCGGATGCCATCTGCATCAACCAGCGAGACATCCATCGCAGAGCGCAACCAGCAGGTCCGCCGGATGGGGTCCATCTACTCACTCGCCGACCACACGGTAATCCACTTTGGTCCCCTCACGCCCGGCGCCGAGTGGGTGCTGCGCAACGCCGACGCCGGTCATTGGCCCTCCTACCCCGGACGAGACGGGGACATGAACCTCAAACGCCTAAAAGATATCCTCGACCGGCCGTGGTTCACGCGCGCCTGAATCCTGCTGGAGCTGGTGCTGTCCCGGGATCCGCTAATGCAGTGCGGCTGCCTGCGTACGCGCTGGACCAGGCTTTGCTCGTTCTTCTCCCTAGCCCCTGTTGGACCGGCAGAACAGCTGACGACTCGAGTTTTCCGGGGCATGGACGCCACCCGCTCGCAGTTCAAGCAGAGCGACACCACCCTGCTGAGGTTGCTCTGGGAGCACCGGGGTATGACTGCCACCGACCCTCGCGATATGGTCTATGCACTCCTGGGCATGCTAGGCAAGACAGAGGCGGCAGAGCTTCCAAGGGACATTATCTCTCGGTCGAGGAGGTCTACACCAGGACGGCACACAATATCATCGAGTCTGGCCTTGTTGGCCTCGCAGCCCTTGCGACCACTTCCGATCCCGTTAGCCGGAAAGAGTGGCGAGTCCTTGAGTTGTTGGTGGCCGGAGCTGATAACGCCATTCCGATGGAGAACCGACGGTGGTGCCTTCACCCCTGGGTCCCTGACTGGACTTCTGGCAAAGTATACCCAGCCGCTGCCGGCAACCTTCGTGGGGTACAGAGGAGAGGGCGATAAGATCGATGTCGACGATCCTGACCCTGTGGGTAACGATCCATGCCCATGGTGGGCAGCGGTTGACGACCCTTCATTCCTCTGTCTCGGTCACAAGTCGTTGTTCACCGTCGAAGCTGCCGGTCCAGTGTTTCCACCGCCATCGGCCATCCCTCCCAGGCTGCTGCAACGGTGTCGAGTGACGCTTCTGGACTTGATTGAGTCGAGCAATGGCCGCGGCGGTGATGGTCCAGCATGGCGGCGTTTCATCGACGCATTGCTGAGCCTCTGCAGCGCCGCCCAGGAACAAGCACCGTTGAAGCGACAGTGGGATGGAGAGTCGGACGCCTTCAAGAATTCCCAAGAGCTAATGGCAAGCGTTCTGTCCGAATGGCTCGGCATGCCCAACGCGTACTTTGTTCAAGCCTTTCCAAACAGACCCCTTCTCCAAATGGTTCGCGCCTATCTTGACGGAGACGGTGTCAGGTCGCCTCTTCAAGGCCGAGGTTTTGCGCTGCTGCAAGCAGCAGCGAAGATTCCGAGCTCTGTGCTGGAATATCGCTCCGAGTTTGGCGTGGTGCCATGCGACGCGCGGCCTGGCGACCACTGCTTTCCTCTCCTGCCGTCTTTGTCTCTGTATGTTGTGAGAGAACAGCACTGCAAGCCGGACCCGGCATGGGAGCGGGCCGTTCTTCAAAAAGCCGAGTCTCTCAAGGCTTTCAATCCAAGAAGGCTGCCCGACCACAAGCGGCGTCACCGCCTCCGGTCGGTGTGGCATCCGGCAAAGTTGTCATCAGTGGGAACCTGGGGAAGACTGGTAGGAGAGTGTCACGCCACCCGGGTTTCGGATAGGTTGATGTTTATTGAAGGACAAAAATCCGGGTTACTTGCCGTTGTTATCCCACCACGTAGTTGCGATTCTGTAGCTGCGGTGTTACAGGGATTCCGAGACCATCAGGTGACCTGGCGGAGCATGGCAGACATACCTTAAGGTACCGTACAATACCGTACACAATCAAGGTACGGAAATGGGTCATCTATGCATATCTGGAGCGGCGGCCAAGACGACTCATTTGCTTTGGTCCCCGAATAAACACGAGACACTGCAGTAAGGTAGTTAATGTACCGTGCCAACAGACCGAGATGAAGACTGCTATGAAAAGGTTTATGGCTCGACTCTGGAGCCATTCTGGTGGTGCGGCCGATTCTGTCGTTGAGCTGGTTCCGTAGCGTCGCGGAGAGAGAAAGCTTGAACATTGCATGAAGTTGGATCGCAGTCGATACTGGGTTAGGTTAGCTTGATGCAGGTACCGGCTCGGATTAAGCGAAGTCTGGAGCGTGCCAAGACCTCGGGTTGACGATGGGCAATGACATCACGCGGTCGAGTTTATTTCGGGCTCATCAGGAACGCGAACGGAGGAGGCGATGGTGTCTTCGGGTCGTCCAAACATCTGGTAGGAAAGAATTGATGTCAGGATCAACCGTGAATGGCAGATGTTCGGGGCACCTTCCAGGGACTGGTCGCCTGGTATGCATGGTAACTGCAAGCCGCTCGGTTAATACACGTGTAGACGTCGATGCATGCAAGCCCTGAGATCTGCTCACCAAAGAACCCTATGCAACGGGCGATCCTGGAATTTCAGACGGAACTGTCACAGCGTCGATCAACAACACGACATCCTCCGCCTTGACAGGCATGACCAGAAAGGTTAGGCGGAGTTTCTTCTTTAGGTTTTGACACCTGACTCCGAGGCCGGATGAATCCAGCCAGAAGCGGTAAGAATGGATCCAGAAATACGAGCCTCAAGCCCCAATGAGCTAGCTCCAGCCACCCGCGGTCATGGCCCGACGCCGCAACTCCAAAGTTACTCGGCGTTTTAGTCTACCTCCAATGCAAGGACACTGGATGTCTTGATCTGGAAAAGCGACTTTTGCCGCCGTCAAGACCCCCGGTGCTCGGACCGCCCTTGGCGGCTGCCCTGCTGGGCTCGTGTCAAGCAACCTCCAAGGGCCGTTGGCCCAGTTGCAAGCGAGGAACCAGCAGGCTCTGTGAGACATGGTGTGGTCGAACATCTTGTGGAACACGAGATTACCCCTGGCCGCCTCATTAGTGCAGTATACTCAGGGACGATGCGGATCGAGACCCCAGCCGTCAGGATGCATATATAACGCGTTCATCCCTTCCCGACAGTCTGGGCCTTCCATCTTGGACAAGTACCAGTCATCGCCAGAGTCTCGGTCTGAAGTCATTCGCTCCTCATACCCAACACTCGCTTTCGACACTCGTTCACCGCAACGCTTGAATAGCAAGACCCAGCCCAGTAACATCTACCAACCATGAAGACCACCTCCGTCCTCAGCGCCGTCCTGGCCTCGGCAGCCGTCACCAGCGCCACCGACGTCTCCGCCTCCAACCCAATCGGGTCCGTCAAGATCTCGGCCTCGAACCCCATCTCCACCGTCACCCTCCCCTCGGCCTCCAACCCCATCTCCTACATCACCAAATCCACCGCCACCGCCTCCGCCTCCGTCTCGGCCTCGAACCCCATCTCCTCTGTCACCATTTCCGTCTCGGCCTCCAACCCCATCTCCTACGTCACCCGCTCCGCAACGACCCTGACGACCGTCACCTGCTCCGACGAGGAACCCCCCAAGCAGACCTCGACGGCCACCGTCTCCTGCCCCGAGGAGCCCCAGACTTCCTCCAAGCCTCCCGTGATTAGCTCCTCGACGCTGACACTCAACGGCACCATCTCGACCGTCTGGACGGCGCCTCCGGCGAGCAGGACCGCCTGCTCTTCCTGCGGCGGTGGTAGCGCGCAGCCCAGCGGGACCAAGACCGGCGGGTCGGGGCCAATTGTTACTGGCGGCGCGGCTGTCAACAAGGTCGCGACGGGCGCGATGGTAGTGCTGGGTGGTGTTGCTGCTTTGTTGGCTTGAGTTCAAGGGTTCATAGACTTATCTTCGGTTGATGAGGTCTTGAGCGCATTGGTCTGGGAATGACTGTGGGGTATATTAGAGGGGGAGAGAGGGGTATGGTTTCGGATAGGGAGGAGGTTGTTTAATTCTTAATGGTGCGAGTTTGCTGGTGTATGGTGGGTGGGGGAAGCGTTCAAATGATATATGGATGTGAGGGAAAGATAGGGCGTGTATGGACGAGTAGATCAAAGGGTAGAATACCAATCAGTGTTCCCGGTTGAGATGCAAGATATCCCTCCGTCCCTGCCCCTTGCGCCACAGGCCGGCCACGATGTTTCATCTGAACTCACTTGCAGACACCTGCCTACCCCAACCACTCAGCACCCCAGGGGTACGCAACTTTCCACGTCCCATTTTCCAACAGCCCACCAAAGAGCCCATGGCTCAATAGTGGGCAGCTTAGGGGTAAACAACCCCGAGCTGGTGCCTTCCCTCCAGCAGGGCATCGGTTTTAATCGAGTAAAACCACCCGGCGGTTTTGGATTCCGTAGCCAACCACCTCCTTTCCTCGTTTCGACCGGAAGCGCAGCTGGTCGGTGAGCTTTCTGGCTTTTAGCCAACCAAACCGAACAACATTTCCCCATTGCTGCACCCCTCTTTCCCGCCCCCCGCCATACACCACCCTCTCACCTTGGCACCTCCCCATCAACCACTTCCCCATCAACTACTTCCAGCCCCCGAATCTCATCCACCCACCACCCCCGAAAAACCCTCAACCTCTCCCCCCTCACCCGCGCCACCTCCCTGCCCACAGCCGTCTTCATCATTCCCTCGAGCCTGACCAGCTTCTCATCGAGATGCGCCATCGTCCCTGCCATATCCCGAGCCGTCTTCGCCCCGCCGTACGTGAACATGCGCCCGATGCCCACAGCGCCGATTGCGTCCAACCTGTCGGCGTCCTGCACGACGGCCAATTCCGGATGTGTTGCGATGAGCGCGGTTACGCGGGAGGGGTCTTTGATTTCGGAGGAGTAGCTCACGCCCGAGCAGATGGTTTGGATTTGTGTGGCGAGGGAAGGGGGGCAGGAGTGGGAGAGGAGGAGGGTTTGGATTTGGGTTGAGGGTGATTCGTTCGGTTGGAGGTATCTGAAATTGCTGTGAGGAGGAGAGTTGAGGGTGGTGGAGAGGAAGGTGGAGTAAAAACGCTGGGGGAAACTGACTTGTGGTCGCCTACGTCGTGCAGCAGGGCGGCCAGATGGATGGTTCGTAGGTCGAGCGTGGACTGGAAAGCCGGGTCTGAGTGGGCGTATATATAATGTGCCAAGGAGACGACGCGCTCGATGTGGTCCCAGGAATGGGAGGCGTCGTAGTTCTGCATGTAGGCTTTGACGTAGGCCGTGATGGATTGGATGAGGGAGTCGTCGGGGAAGGCATCCGTGGCGGGTTTCGGGACGGACATTCTGCTGGTGTAAGTCCGTTTGACTGGCCGCATCCCGTGTGTGACAGACAGGTGGTGAGCAGGGTCCAATTATCAGTTGAAAGTGGGCAAGGCGTGAGTTTGTCTCTCAGGGTTGAAGTTCCGGATGGTTGACGAAATAAAAAGACCCACTCTCCGGCGGTGGGTCAAGTTCAGGCAGCAGCCACGGGAGGGAAGCAGAAGCATCTTGACTGCAATTAACCAGGTCGAGTTTGGTCTCAGACATGATGAGTATGTCCAACGGTCTCGTTCACAAAGGCTCAATGCTTTGACCTGGCCTTGGGCGATGTGCTCTTGTCACGGTTTATTGCTCGCTCCCAATAAAGCACACTCCTCGATGGCGACCTCTCATGAGAGCTAATCATGGACAAAGAGCCTCATCAAGAAGTCACCTCAAAACTTGATCGCCCGAGACTGCCCCATGCCGTGACCTGTTTGGCCCACCGGCATGCTGCAACCTCACCTTCAGAGCAGCCAGATACCGTTCCATTTCCTCGCCCTCAAACCCAAACGCAAGCCTTACCATTTCGCGCACAAGGTCTTGGTCGTGCTCCGGCACGCCCCGCAATCTGGTAAGACACCCATATACTCTCGAGGCGGCGCTATCCAAGACATCGGCGAACGACTGCCCGAGAGCCCGCCCTTCCTCGCGAAGTCCCTCTTCGACCTCCCAAAACTCCTGAGCATACATCTTCCGAGCAGCCGCCTGGCGCGATACGTTTCCGTGAGCAATGTGGTCCGGGTTCCCAAGAATGCTGTTGATGTCCTGATCCGACCAGAGCAAGGGGAATGGCATGGGGTAGTGGTTGACCCGCCATGGGCCCGTCTGAGCAAGTTCCCAGTCAATGATAGCGAGGAAGTTGAAGGCGTCGTCGATCAGAATGTTTTGCGTGCCGAGGTCCATGTGGTTGAGGGGAAACGCTGCCTTGGGGCAGTCGTCTGCGAACAAAGGTGTGTTCCGGAAAATGTCGAGGAAGACGAGGGCACCTAGCTGAGGCAAGAACTGCGTGCCTCCGTCTGTGTCTCCAGCGTGAAGGTTCAGCTTGCTGAGTGCGGCTTCTCCGACTGCGGTGAAGTGCTCGGCAATGTTGGAAAAAGTTCTTGGGCTGCTAGCCCCTCGGCGGACGCGGTGGATAGCCTGCTGATGACGGGCTCCCCGTTCTCTGAGACGGAACAGATGGAGCCGATCTCGGGGTATGTCATGGTTGCCACTCCTGCTTGCATTGCAGTCCACGGAGCCATGATATGCTCTTGAGCGGCGATCTAGGCAGCGCCGGTTGGAACGTGAGCGGCGCACGGTGTCGTTCGGTCACTTACGGCCGATCTGCAGATATCAAAGGCGACATCTTGCAATGTGTTCCCCTAGAAGCCTTCCAGAAGCATGTACACGGCGCCTGCGTCGGCCGCAAATGGCGATCCAGGGCCTTCGTATGCGTATACGCAAGGAACTGTGACCGCTGGGAGCTTCCGCCGCACGAACTGCATAGTAGCCACTTCGCACGCGATCGAGTACAGCTCATCTTGCTGACTGCCGACGGCATGTTAGGATGCCGGGGGAGCCGGACACCGGGCGATGATCAGGCTGCCATCTGCTGCGACCAGCTCAAGACAGAGCCAATACTGTCCTGCCGAGAAGGGTTTGCTGATGTTGAACTTCTGGCCTGTGAAGATTCTGCATGGCGGATAACGACACATGTATCAAGTTTGCCCAGCATTGTCTGCAATCGCTCCTTCATGGCCCCCATAATCCCAACCTTCAAAGGAGACCCAGCGGGCGCTCGGGAGAGTTTTTGGCTCCTGCGCTGCTGTCATTGTTCGCAGGATGAGCTAACATGCATATCAGCATGGCGGTACCATATCTTACCTGGCACCGTACCACTGGAAGCGGAGCATCTCTGTTGTTCTCCGAGCCCAGGGCTGAGTAGTGCGCTATTGAGCCTGCAAGTTCAGGCAAAGTGGGAAGCACAGAGGACTTCAGCTGCGGGAGTTGGCGTTAAAACGCGCAAGGGTGGGAGTTTCGGCGGCTATTCAGTGCAAGGACTGTGGAGCTTCAGAGCGTCCTGACCATTGGGGTGCCCAGACGGTGGTCACTGGGTGATCCTCGGCTGCATCTTCGAGTAGCGAGCATGCTGCTTAAGCTTTGGCGTTGCTGCATCCCACTTTTCTGCTCACATATTGTTACTCGCCGCAGCTCAGTTGATGGCTTGCATGCAGTAGGTAGGTGCTCTACTGTATGCTGGTTTCCTGACCGAGCAATGCGGGCTGACGTCCACGGGGAGCCACCAAAGACAGAGGCAACTGGGCCAAGGAGGTTCCGGTAGACTTCTACGTGCCATGCAGACGGCGATCAGCTTCCGCTCACTGACTCTAAAGCACATCTGCACCTGCCGGACTGGCCGCTTTTCTTTAGGGCAGCGGGGGTTCACCCATGAGCTGATACCTTCATGTCGCCGTGGCGCACCGTTGCGGCGTGCTCGCCATGAGGCCAGATATGTCGACCACCTCAGTACGACAGTCGTCTCCAGAGCCCCGGGTGTCATGCTTTGTCAGGGAGGTTCGTCTTTTGCAAGTAAAAAGCCCACACAGAAAGACCCATGGACGCTGTCCACTTGACCCGGATTTTACCACAGCGAGACAGAGAGAGTGGCCGGAAATGCGGCGCTATCGATGATGGACGACCCAATCTGCGGCCAACCTCCCCCCATGGTCGATGCAGCATTGCTGACTCCGGACTCGGTACGAATACAGAGGGTCGCATTGCTGATGCTGCAACTGACTAGCGATTCCACGATGGCATCAATCCTAGTTACTCGAAGGCCGGCGTGCCTGGCGCAAGGTACCTACGCATCGCTTCCATTGCCTTGATTTGCTCTGTCAATGCTCTCTTTTGTTGAGATCCCTCGCCATGGGTCAGGTCGTTGAGAGTTCCTACTCGGTCCGTGACTGGGCGATGGGACACAGCAGGCCAGCGAAAACACAACTGTCGATTATTGGCGGGAGCTGCATGCACCTGTGTGATGAGCGATGATGCATTGCACTGGGAAGAAGCGAAGACGTTGGCTGCCTGTGCCATGATTGGCCAATCTGGGCATGGATTTAGACGCCCAGCTAGGCTGTAGAAGGCTTAGCGTATGTGATCAACGCGGCACATCTGCGGGGCCAGGACGAGCTCCCGGCCCCACGAGAAATGCTTCTCACTCATCCAAGCGAACTTCAAGTTCCCCCCCATCTGATGAACTTCCCAAACAGGTCCAATTCCATTTGGATATGCAACCAGACTTCAGTCCTAGCCGCCCATCTTGCAGTACTGCTGCATGGGGCCCGTATGGGCTTCGGCGGCATCCATCTCCGCCATAGCAAACCCAATTGGCTTTGTCGAGAAAGCACTTCTCGGCCGGCAACCCGCATGGTCTCTCCCACCATGCTCATGGATGGCCGATTCCATGTGGCCTGCTTCCGTGTCACCCCAGCCGATTTCCAGGTTGCCAAGCAAGGAGGACGTTGAGTGGACAGCCGGCTTCACCCCCCCCCTCCCAGACATGGCTCGCGATGATATAAGGCCGCTCCCTCGGCCTCGTTTCCTTGCCTTCTCTTTTTCCTTCTGCAGCAAGCACTCAACCAAAATCCAGTTTCTGTTGTTTTTCTTTTACACTTTTTTTTTACACTCATCCTACACGGAGCTGTGCTCTGTTAATCCAAACTAGTCCCAAAAATCAATATTCGGTAGCTTGCTGGCCTTGCTACTCACACCATCTAATCCACTTCACCATCAAGAACAACACTGGTTTACTTGCTCGTCACGCTCTTCAGCGCAAAAGATCATTCTCTCAAGACACTTTAATTATTCAGCACTCGATTTCTTAATAACGAAGCCAAAATGTCCGCCATCCAGCTCTCTTTCTCTCTCCGCGTCTCGTCTGGCGTCAAGACCGTTCACCTCCTCGGCTCCTGGGACAACTACAGCGGCCAGCTCCCGCTCTCCAAGGACAAGTCGTCGTCCAAGGGCACGTGGAAGGGCACCTTCCGCTTCCAGCAGACCACCCTCCAGCCCGGCCAGCGCTACTGGTACTACTACATCATCGATGGCTACCACGTCTCGCACAACCCCAGCGAGGATTCGACCGTCGAGCCCACCACCGGCCGCGCTCTGAACATCCTGGACGTCCCCAAGACCAAGTCTTCCTCTTCGTCCTCCTCCAAGTCGTCGTCCCGCAAGTCGACCTCGTCCTCCAAGAGCCGTTCCTCCGTGGCCGGCGACATCCCCAAGGGCCGTCCCCTGTCCGTCTCGCAGATCAAGGCCCCCAAGCCCGTGTCGCCCAACGCCACCCGCCACATCCTCGACAACGATTTTGACGAGGACGAGCTTTCGAGCCGCTTCGCCGCCACCGGCATCTACGACGACTACTACAACGAGGACGTCATCACCGACTTTGGCGCCCCCGGCTCCCCCGCGTCGTCGGTCGGCTCCTCGCTCTCGTACCGCTCCGACAGTTCCGGCTCGTCGGGCTACAGCACCCCGGCGTCGGACTGCTCGAGCTGCACCTGCGAGCGCTACGGCATCACCCGCAAGGGCGAGCGCGTCCGCCTCGACTGCGGCGGCTCCCGCTGCTCGTACGACGACTCGTGCTCGTCGTCCGAGGACGAGGCCGAGTACGTGGAGCGCAGCTCCCGCCGCAACGGCATCGTCGTCCGCCAGTAAGCTGCTGGCGCCGCCTGCCTCGGGTGAGGAAAGAAAGGAAGATTTGTTTGAGTCACTCCGACCAAAAGACTTGGTTAATAGTAGGGCCAGAGGCGTGAGCTTTCTACGACTCCGCTTCACAGTCTTGTCCTCGGTGTTTTTCACCTCTTCTCCAAAGGGGAAAACCACCCAAGTCCGACATCGACAGTCCAGGGCCAATTCGCGAGAAGAAGGCAAATGATGGCCGTTCCACTCACTCAAACTCACTTCGTTGTTTGAAACACAGCAGCGGTTGAGCTGGAACCTGTCGGCGGCAATTCCTCATGCCCCCACCCCCCCCCCCGGGGGGGATACGTCCGACGTAATGGACTCGACTGGCTCGAGCTACCCATCGTCGTGCCGTGCCCGGGGTTCAATTTCCAGAGGATTTCCCCCGGTAGGCTTTCACGCCTCCCGCTTTTTTGCTTGTGTCCCCTTTTTGGGGGGGTTCGATGGCTGCAGCCTGTCTTGAGATGTAATACTCTCTTGCGTTCATTCCCTGATATTTCTTCTTGGGCAATTCGCCGGAGTACTGATTTCTCCCTGGTGGGGAAGTCGGTCCAGCTCGTGGCCAGAACGGACAGTTCAACGACTGTTTCTGTGGGGAGGTTTTTGACAATATACCCTTCTGGGTTCCTTGCTTCTAGGGGATGATTTTTGTGAAGCGGAAACCTGCCGGAGGGGATGATAAAGTTGTGGCCTTGGATCTGGGTGCCGCAGGGTCTGAGCTAGCCATGTTTGTTGAGGGTGGTCTGGCGGTGGCAGCGGCGGTTCCCAAAATGGGGGATTGGCCTATGCACTGTGTATAGTTATCTCTTGATACTATGTGTATGTAACTATACTCTGACTGTCTACTTGCCGATGGGTAGATGACGCTTGGAATCTATTCGTTGAAGTCGATTTGAGTTACGCGGTGTGTGTATTTTGAGAGCCACGTTCATAGTTCCAGTGAACACGCAGCGCACTGAAGCAGTTGAGTTGGTAGGGAATGACTCATGTATGCTCCAAGGCAATACTCGTCTGGACTTTGCTCCACTTGGCGAGGCAGTCGGGCGGCGTTTTTGAAGCCCTGATGAATATGACTGAAATTCAACTCAACGCTGTGAACCTCTCTATGCGCCAAACATGCCAGTACCCCTTCTATGTGACCGGTCTAATAACCCAACCAAGCTATGCACCATGATATCAAAGTTGTATCCCCCTGCCCAAGACAACCCTCCGCGCTTACTTATTCCACCCCCTCCCTCACCCCCCGTCCATCCCGGCCCACAACCCTCCTCCCAATCTTCAGATCCCTCCTCGACGTGCAACAGCAGCCCATCCCAGAATGCACCGCAAAACCCCAGATACTGAACCCGGTCGCCAGCCACATAAACACAAACATCTTAACCCCGACCTCGGCGCGGATGTTGAGATCGCTCTGCGCCTCGGCGGCGTACTTGAACGCGACGCTGATGGCCGTGCCCACGACGCTCGCCGCCAGGACGAGCATCATCTCGACAAACGACACGACGGCCAGCGGCAGGCTCCACCAGCGCGAGGTGACGGCCACGGGGGAGAGCAGGACGAGCAAGAAGGCGAGGACGCAGGCCGTCAGGAAGAAGCCGAACATGATCTGCGACGTGATACGCAGTACCGAGAGGATGGTGACGACGGCCGTGGGGAGCGCGATTGTCGCGCCCGCGAGCAGCTCGTTCATGAGCACCTCGACCGGGTTGAACCAGTACAGGGTCTCGGGGTGGGAGCAGAAGGTGATACCCTCGTGGAGGTAACCCTCGCAGAAGTTCCAGAGGCCGACCTGGTAGAAGTCGTGCAGGCCGATGGACTGGGCGATGCTGTTGATTAGTGAGGCGTTGGGAACGCTTGTTGGGATGATGTCGGCTAGGTTGAGCTTGAAGAAGTAGATGGTGGAGAGGACGGGGCCGGAGTTGGTGGAGCCGATGACGACCTGGGGGGTGTATGTTAGTGGCGAGAGTAGGACAAGTGAGGGCGTGTTTTATGAGAGGTTTTGGCGTACGAGAAGGAGGAAGATCCAGGACACGAGGTATGCAAAGGAGGCGCTCAGAGCAAAACCCCGGCGCAGTCTCGTTGCTCGCTTGATGCTGGCATGAGTGAGGTCGCTCCCCTGGCCGAGCTGCTCCTTGGAGGTTGGACTTGTCGGCGATGATGAGGCACTCTTTTCGCTGCCGGCTCTCAGGCGGGACCGGAGCGCTGCCGGTAACTCCATGCTGGATTTCGTCGATTTGGAGGCGGGAAGGAAAAGGCGTTAGGGCTCCCGCAGGCCTGCTGCGAAGTCGAGCTAGGGGTTAAGTTAGGTTGAAGCTCACTCCGGCGATGCCACACACAATGACACCCCGGACGCCGCCGAATTCAGAGATTCAGGATGCAAGAGAAATGCAACAGGTGTAGGTTGCTAAATCGTGTAGTTTGCTAAATCGAGTCGCTTCAGATCTCAGTGGAGAACTTGAAGCTGAAGCGCATGAATAAGGAGCGACAGCAAAGAAATGAGTTGCCAGACGGTTAGAAAGGCGCTGATGAGCTCCCTTCGATCATGATGTCCGTGTGCAGGGGGGGCATGCCAAGCAAGCACTGCAGTGGGCTGCGCAGAATGCAGATGCGCTGAGAGATCCAGCCGGTCGGTCCACTGTTGTTTGGAAATCGTTTGGCGATGACATCTCCACTGGCTGTCAGTGAACCTTGATAACCGGCGGTCAGCAGCCCGGCGCTTCTGCCTTCACGCGGTAACTTGAAGCTCCCAACTTATGGACGATGGCCCGTTTTGTGGTTTTCCTTTCATGACAACACACCGTTCCGGTAGAAGTTAGTTCAAGGTAGATTTACCTCCGTATGAAGTACACGTACGCAAAGACTGAGTGGCGTTGACGGCACGCTAAAAAAAATTCAGAAATCTTAATAGCAGCGGGTGATGTCTTGGCAAATACGTCATCAAGCGTTGCTCGGAACAACCGGTAGAGGAATCTGCTGGAGTCACAGTCAGCGGCACCACAGTCAGCACTGTTGAGAAGAGAACTGGACTCATCAATGGGGAAAGGACTTTATCTCGAGGAATCCGGGCAAGCGATACTGAGCAGACGTGGATTGGTTTGGAACCAGTTGTCTCGTGTTCTCAAGCAACCGCTGATCGTTGCAGGGATCTAGACGCGCGGAAGCCCCACTGCTGCGGCAGTGTGACAGGGGAAGAGTCTCCACAATGCTCCTTTGGGGCATGTTTTAAGCTTGGCTAGCCAGCGGCATGATTCTGTCTTGTGAGCCCAATGTTGACTGATTGACATATCCGCGTCTTGGTCAGACTCTTTCCTCTCGATGCCTTCATCTAAATTGACTCGCTCCGACATTCCCATATGATGTTGTCTCTCACGTGTATGGCCGGCCTGCTCTGGGCCTTCTCCCTCAGCATCAGCCCGGCCCGCTGCCAATCCGTCGAGGTGGCCGACGACATCACAGTGCTGACGGGTACGAGAACCGACGCAACGAAATCAAGCACCAGCCTTCCAACCGGCGCCTACCAGACCCCCTCCTCGCGAGTCACCCTCGCAACAACCAGCCTGCCGACCGACCTGGGCACGCTCACAGCAAACATCACCGACACATCCCAAACCAACACGGTAACCTACCTCACCGGCTCCGTCACCTCTTCCACCACAACCTACGACACCAATGGCACCTCAACTTTCACCTCCGCAACTGCGCCGGCCCAGCCAACCAACACTCGCCCCTGCAACAACTACCCGGAACTCTGCGCGCGCAAGTACAGCAACATCACCCAAGTAGGCTGCCACAACAGCCCCTTCGTGCGCGCCGGCAGCGCGGCCGCCAACCAACAGTTTCCCGTGCTCGACCAGCTCAACGACGGCGTGCGCTTCCTCCAGGCACAGATGCAGTGGCCGACCAACGCAACGGCGTCGACCCCGCCGCACTTCTGCCACACTTCGTGCGATCTGCTCGACGCGGGGCCCATCACGGACTGGCTGTCCCAGGTCAAGGACTGGGTTGCGGCGCACCCGTACGACGTGGTGACGATCCTGCTGGGCAACGGCAACTACTCCAGCCCCGACAAGTACGTCGGCGCGATCGAGGCGAGCGGCATCACGCAGTACGTGTACACGCCGGCCGTGGTGCCGATGGGGCTCGACGACTGGCCCACGCTCGGCCAGCTGATCTTGTCAGGCCAGCGGGTCGTCATGTTCCTAGACTACATGGCTAACCAGACGGCGTACCCCTGGCTGCTGGACGAGTTCACGCACATGTGGGAGACGCCGTTCGACCCCGTGGATGCGGCGTTTCCGTGCACCGTGCAGCGGCCGCCCGGGCTGAGCGCCGAGGATGCGAGGAGGAGGCTGTATCTGATGAATCATAACCTCAATGCCGAGGTGTCGCTGCTCGGGTCCACGATACTCGTGCCGGCCGTCAGCCAGCTGAATGTTACGAACGCGGTCGAGGGCCAGGGGAGCTTGGGCCTGGCGGCGAATAACTGCCGGTCGGACTGGGGCAGGGCGCCGAATGTCCTCAACGTGGACTATTATAACTTTGGGAATTACCCGGGGAGTGTGTTTGAGGTGGCGGCGAGGATGAATAACGTCTCGTTCGAGAGGAGGCCATGCTGCGGGCTGGCATCGAGCGCGGGGGTCAGGCTCGAGGTGATAAGGTCGTTTGTGTGGATAGGATTGGCTTGGATGATATGGATGGTGGTTTAGACGATTCCCTGGCCGAGTTTTCTTTTCCTCTGTTTTGTCTCTGGCATTGCATGGCGTTGGGGTGGGTATTAAGAGTATAGACGGCATGATTCTGGGTGCTACGGGATAGCTGACAGTACCCCTGGTAGAGGTATCCCGGGACCATCGAAGACGGCAATGGCAATGATTCTTCCGTTTGATATCATGGAGAGTAAAACTGAGCAAAGCCTGAACTCGTTACCTTTCTCAACAACGAATGGTCATGTTACCCCTGATATGAGCAAAATCCGGGGAATGACCGGGGTCGTGGGGTGCGCCAGACTTCTTGGCGGCTCTCGGGGCGGGTCTGCTGAGCCGAGGTTCAAGGCAAACTGCGGGGCCGAAGCCGAGTGTCTTCCATGATTATCCACTCGGGGGCTCGACAATTAACAATCACTCTTACCCTCGCTCTATTTGGTCTTTTCCTGTGTATTTCTTGCGAGAACCTCCTTAGACCGTTTCCGACGACTAGCTGTTCCGTATCCACTGACTGCTCTGTCTTCAATACCGCCGCCATGTCCAAGCAGATCACCAAGGCTGAGGTCGCCCAGCACAAGGACGACAAGTCCATGTACATCATTATCGACGACGGGGTCTACGACGTTGCCGGTATGCATCCTGACCTCGGTCCCTTGGATTACGGAACTCACCCTCTGTGACTGGAATGAATGGCGCCGACGCTGGCTTTCGTCTGCAAACGATAGTTCGGCGGAAGTAAGTAAAACTCTTAAGGCGGTGGCTAACCAACGCAAACCGCAGGCTTCGTCGACGACCACCCCGGCGGCGCAAAGATCCTGAAGCGCGTGGCCGGCAAGGACGCCACCAAGCAGTTCTGGAAGTACCACAGCAAGAGTGTGCTCGAAAAGTACGGGCCTAAGCTAAAAGTTGGCACGCTCAAGGAAGAGGCCAAGCTTTGATATGGTCATTGGGGATTGTTATTTGGGAGCGGAGCACGGAAGGGATTGAGGGTTGGGGGTGGTCTACTTGTTGAGCACACTGCGACGGCGCGACATGGCCTTGATACCACGAATATAGCGATGGTGATTTTCATTAGATTTACTCACGTTTCTCCAGTATGACATACCCAAGAGTTGGCTGCTCAGGGGCCCTTGTTCATTGTACTCCGTACACATATGGCTATTCTCTCTTCCGCCCACCATCCCCACCCGGGGACCCCCCACCCGAAGATGCGGCGTGGTACGACGGCGCATCTGGGCCTGCGAACCACAATCGTTCAATCCCGCTGACATTGCAGTGACAAAGGCAACCACCGCTCCTGTGCCTTCATAACACAGCATAGCGCCTAGGAACCCCAACTATTCGGCTTCGATTCCCCGGGGCAGCACCTTACAAAATTCCCATCTACCCACATAACGACGCCTGCCAAGGCATCCATCGAGCGCATACCCCGCGCATGCAGCGTTGTCGTGATGGCGAGGATCCGCAAACCCCGTCCGGAAGACGACATCGCAGCTTTTGCCCCCACGGAAAGCCTGGATTGGACTCATGCACCGGGCTGCGCCCGATCATTCAGGCGATATTAAATAGCAATGGAACACTGTGTTGCAGAGCCTGCCCACTGGCCTGAAGTGAGGCCGTCAGACGAACGAAACATCTGTACGAATATGGATCCGACGAGCACAGCCTTGTGCTTGTACGCCGGCCTGAGACGGAGCCGCTGTGTATTCATCTGCACGTAGGGTAAGCTCGACACCTCTGCTGGCGATAACGACATGCCGTATGACATGTTGGTGGCAGTACGACCCACCACGAGGAGTGGTCACCCGAGTCCAGCCTGGGGAGGCGACATGATCCGTCTACTCCTGGAAAGGTCCTGAACACCTCATCTCTGTCGAACAGGCGAGTGAGTAGGGAGTAGTGTCAGGGCAGTGACTCTCCTTTCTTAGTATAAACAAGCCAGCTCAGGAGTCTTAAGACACTGAACCCACACACCGACGGACACAGGACAAAGTGAAACGTCCCGAAGCTCAGGAGTGAAGCCCGCAACCAAGACACCTCATCCCGAGGCGAATCAGCTATTCTCGCCTCCCCGTATAACACAAGGTATACAACGACTGTGATACAGGCTTCCGAACCGGAACCAGCTCCCAGCCAGCCAGTCCCTGCTGTCGTAGCTCACGGACCCCCAAGACCGACATCCCCCGGACCTGATGGCAGGCGAATTTTGTACTGGAAACGCCTGCATTCCCATTTCGACAGGTCCCCGATCTCTTGCATTCCCAGCGACCGACCACGACAGCTGAACACGACATTGTTCGCTCTTGTCTCACTACTCTCCCCGCACATAAAACTTCCAAGTCACTCAAACTTTCCGCGACATCGTTGTTTTTTTCTTGCGCGCCACAACAACAATCACGGAAATAGACAGGTGACCGGTAACGCTAGTCGTGAAGACCTCGGAAATGTGGGAAATATGGAAATAAGTAAGTGCTGGATGCTGCTCCAATGGGCCCCGCATGCAGACAATCGACAATAGCACCTATATGGGTGAGTTGGTACTGTGGTCGAAGACAGGACGAAGATATAAACTGAGTTATGCAACAAGCACATGAGAAAGCAAACCAAGGCAGGTGGAAGAGGATTACTTGACAGACATACTACTCGTAGTATCTTCCTCTCTGCCTCATCAATGCTACCAGTAGCAACATCCCAGTCATAACCCAGCAGTTACTAAAACACACCCAACCAGTGGCGATGAGGAAGATAAACCATACTGTTTTATGTACGCCCGCTCTTTGCTCTGTCTTGCTGCCCAGTCCTGTCCCGACCTTGCCCAGCTCCATTCCAAATCCAAAACTGACCAAACAAATGAGAGAAAAGTGAAATCGCTGCTCGCTGATGGGGTTCGCGTGAAAGGCGTTGTCGTTTGCCCCGCGGCGGAGAGAGAATTACGGTGATGTGAAGTAAATAAAGGGCGTAAATCGCGAGTGTCGGGACGTCTTGTAAGTCGGTTGGTGTACTTGTACAGTGGGCCGAAGAGAAAGTCGTATTGTGTATCGCGCCGTGCGAGGAAAAATCAGATCCCAATCCGTTTCCCCAATGACACCGTAACGCCCATGAGACCGAATATCAACAACAAAAACGGAAATTCCGCGCCAGGCAATCGGCCAGTGGCATGTGCTCTCAACGACGCATCGACGTCGGCCAGTGATCGCGGAAGCCGACGGGGCTCGGCGGCGGTGGCGCTGGAACCGAGTAGTCCTGCTCCTGAATGTGGTGAATGGGCGTCACCAGCTGGTCCGTCTTAGACGCCAGCGTCGCGTTGATGCTGGCAAAGAGCTCCTGGGTGGTAATCAGGCCTAGGTTCCGGCGCTGGCCCTGGATGGGGATGGGCGCGGCGAGCGGGGTGGCGACCTGGGAGGCAGGCATGGCGGCTGGTAGATAGATAGATGATCGGCGGGTGGTGTGGTGGTTGGGGTGGGTGAGTGGTGGTTGAGAGACCTGGGTTTGGATCAAGTTGACTACGCTTTGGGCGAGAACCGGGCGGTGATTCAGGACAGGCAACCTTCGAAGGGGCAACCGAGTGAAATGAGAAAGCACAAGCTTTTGACGTTCGGTGGGCAATGGTGGCGGGCCGGTTGGAGGCTGTATTTGAAGCGAGGCCGAGGGTAGGTGGGCGACCGAGGTTGATATGTATTAATACTCGGCTATGTCCTATTCTCTGGTATCAAGAGCCGCGGCGTGTGTCCTCGGTTGCTGTGCCTAACGGATGATACAGGGTAGGTCTGTGATGGGTAATAGCACGCGAGAGGGATGGTCGGGCCAAGTGGTGGTCGCGTAAAAGAAGAAACAGGAAGCAGAACAGAACCGTTTCTGTGGCCGACTGTATCTATATGTGGCAGCAAGCCGAGCCAGGGCGACGAGGAGACCAGACCGGAATCTTGGCCCAAAGCCGGCCGTTTGATACGGAGCAAGGGTGTGAGATTAGGGATCCTGGATGCGGCCCAGTACACGTGTAGAATTCTGGGGAAACGGGATGGTTGTGTACCAGTACCTGTGATGTACCCCGTCATTTCCCCGTAGCCTCTTTCTCAGAGCAGGGCTCTGAGTCTGTCTCACGATTTTGTGTCTGCACGGGGTAGAAGTGACGTGCCGCCTGATGGAGGGGGCCGATATGATGAGGCAAACAGAAGGGGATGAATTCCGACCAAAGGCACTGAGCCAGCAGCTGTTGGTATTCTGATGGTGAAATGGCCCCAGAACATTCTGCGGTGATGTGGCATGACAGGGGAAGTGACCTGCCCTCAAACAGCCCTCGGGAGGCGCTGTTCTGCGCCGAGTTTTCGCTGGACGGAGCCAGGCCGGATGCTGCACAGTAGGTAGTGCAACACTTGTCCGTTGTGCCCGGCGTACCTCAACAGCGCTCCAACAGGCACACATCGGTGGATGAACGGAGAACAAAGGGAACGACGCTAGGCGGCTTGTTAGCCCTGGCGCCGAGCCGTATTCCCGACCTGATTGTCATTCCAACCGGTGGGAGGAATCTGGCCAAGCTGGACATGGATCTGTCGGGACAGAACAACAGCAGGTAAATGATTGGCCATACCCGGGCCAACTGGTGCCCTGCTCACTGCCCAGGCTGGTCACGGCCGGGTGCGTCGGTTTGGACGGGGTCAACCAAAAAGCCATGCCGTAAGCTGCTTTTTTCCAGCCTCAACAGGCGACGGCGGCGCAACATTGCTGGCGTTTTGTTGGTTCTGAGCAACAGGCGGTAAAGGTAGGGGAGGTCGTGTCCCGTTGACGCGATTCCAGTGGTTGGCATCAAACACGCAGGCCCGCATGCAACGATCGGGATTGGGACGCCCGAAAAAAATTCTTCAGTTCTTAAGTTCCCCCGTGGGGCAGGCTCGTGCTTGCCCATTCAGGTCAAGGACCCCCGATCCACGCCTTCCGTCTGGGGTCTATGGGGTAAAAGAGCGATTGATGCAAAATGTGGCTGCTCCACTTGGCTCAGCTTTAGCCCCACAGCGCAGCTCGCCTCAGTAGATGGGATACTCGTCTGGGTTTCGAAAACACCACCCGACTGCCTCGCCAAGGGAGCCTGTCGGGTACTGTTGGATTTGGCAGGTGGTCAAAGAGGGCAGTTCAGGGGTGACTAATGGCTTGGCACCAGGATTCTCAGGATCAGGAACAGGCAGGGAACTTCTGGAAGAACGCAGACAGGAACATCATCATCAATTGAGTGGTTGCCCATCCTTTTGGTACCCAATTACCACGGTGCGGTCAATCCGTGGCTGTTGGCTTTCCAACAGATATGTTGACTCGCTCTACGATCATTGACCGCTCTATAAATAGGAACTGTAGTTTACTAGTAGTTTCTACTAAAATTTAAAGTCTTCTCTTATAGTTATATTATTATTATTATTATTATTATTATTATTATTATTA